GTGGGGATGGAAGTGGGGGGGGGGAAGGATCGCCCATCCGCAGAGGGGGCCTGGGCCGCGACTCTGAAACCAGCTGGGATTCGGGGTGGCGTAACGGAGCCCAGCAGGCCTGTCTTCGTCTCCATGCCCTTTAATCCCTCGCAGAGAACCTGATTCTGAACGACCCAGACTTCAAGCACGAGGACCTGAACTTCCTCACTCGCAGCCAGCGCTACGAGGTGGCTGTCAGGAAGAGCGCCACCCTCGTGAAGAAGATCAGGGAGTTCGGCATCTCGGACCCGGATGAAATCATGTGGTTTAAAAAGTAGGTATGCCCTCGCGCAGGTCCCGTTTTCATCCGTGTTTTGCAAAAGCCCACACTTGACCCCCGCGGTCTGGGGGTGCGTTTTCCCCCGTGCCTGGCGTTGGAAGACTCCAGCGGCCTGTTTGCAGCCGCCTGAAAGTTGTGTGTGTGGAAGAGAATGTTTACCTTTGCACCTACGCCCTCTAGGGAATGGCACCTGGAATGCTGATAACCAAGTGGTGACCCTGCAGTTTTCATTCTCGGGGATCAGACAGATTATAGATCCCCCCCTCCCCCCCCCAGTCTCAGTTTGAGTGATTCCTGTTCAAAATGCCTTCGCTCTTGCTGGGAAGGAGGCTTGCCGCATTTAGATGCTGGATTCCGGGGGAATTGTCAGTTGTGAGCCCAAACGTATAAATGTTTCGTAGCAATGACACTATATTTTTCTAGGGTAGAGGAGAGCTTGAGCTCCAAATAGTGGAGAAAGGGATGGATGAAGAACGTTAGTCAAACCTCAGAATGAATATAAAGGGCCCTAAGGAGGCGGCGTTGTGGAACACCCGAGGTCCCAGGGCTGGGCAGGGTACCTTCCTTTTTTCAGACCATCCGTGTTTTGTTGATGTGTTTTGTTTTTTAATTGGAAAAAATGCTCTTTGTTTTTGCCTTTAAGCAAATACTCTATAATTACGTGATCTTATTAATACCAGATTCCCTTTGGCCTGTGGCACCCCTGACACTTCTCACTTCTTCCTGGCATTTCTTCCTCTTTTAGGTTTCTGTATTTTAGAAGAACTTCAATATTTTCATCAATAAAGATTAAATATGATGAATAGTGTATATTCAAAAGCCAAGAAAATAATGAAACGTTAAAAGTTTTGTGTTTATGTAGTAATAGTCATTTATAGTCATTTCTCCCATAATACTGCCTGTAGTTCATTTGGTATCTAATATTTTTCTGATTGTTTTCTTTTTTTTTAAGAGGAAGGGAGAGGGAGAGAGATAGAAACATCAATAATAAAGAGACTCTGATTGGCTGCCTCCTGCACGCCCGCGTGTCTCCCCCCCCCCCTCCCCCCCCATCAAGCCTGCAGCTGGAGCATGTGCCCTGACCTGGAATCGAACCATGACCTCCTGGTTCATAGGTTGATGCTCAACCACTGAGCCACACTGGGCTGGTATCTAATTATTAACTTTACCTCGCTATTATTGTCAATGTGAAATAATTTACTGTGGCCCTTAGCACTACCCTCAGAATTCCTTTCCATTCTGTTATAAAAAATACAATTAATTTACTTTTGGTAGCCCCAATGAAGAGTACTTACTCCCAAATGCTCTTTTGTTCTTGTTAAAGTTTGTAGCTCACAGCTGGGGGGGATATTGAGGTGGAACAGTGATTTTCAACCTTTTTCATCTCATGGCACGCATTAACTCATCACTAAAAATCTGTGGCTCACCAAAAAATGTTATAGTTTTTGCTAATCTGAAAAAAAAAAGGTATAATTTTGATTCATTTACACCAGACGGCTATTGTTGTGTTGGCTATTGTCATTTTTATTTTTTTTTATTTGACAATAGAAAAGAAGTCAGTGCTCCTAAGTGGTCAGATATTATATTTTTTGTTTTAGAGAACTTTTAAATTTTTCTTTATTTCTTTTATTGATTTTAGGAGGAGAGAGAGAGAAACATTGATTTGTTCTACTTATTTATGCATTTATTGGTGATTTTGTATGTGTCTGGACTGGAGATCAAACCCAGAATCTTGGCATGTCAGAACAGTGCTCTAACCAGTTGAGCTACCTGGCCAGAGCTGGTATCGCATGTTTTACAAACTCCTGGGGCACACCAGCGCGCCTCTTGCCGCACCCCTGCTGACCGTCACGGAGGTAGAGCAATTCCCTACAAGATTATGTTTCTGAATTACCCAACATGGGTTTGTAAACCCTAAAATATTACTAAGATTTTACTATTCCTTAAGATAACACAAAAACAGGTTTCTTTTGTTTTGCTTTTATACGGTTGATGCAATGTAGTTCAGAGTTGGTTAGACGATTTCATCATCTGTGATGGAAACCAGACTCAAGTGAAGTCATGAGGAAATAGGACAGAGTCCTTTATGTGGGTTAAAGATTAATGGACAGCAGGCCGTTTGGTGTTATTTTTCCTGATGTAGACCTTGCTGTTTGGGGTTAAAGGACAAACTTTAACATGCCCTTTGACATCCTTCCAATATCCATAGGATATGACAGGGAGATCAATATGTTAGCGAAGGGGACTGAAAAGTAACCTTGGCAAGTAATGAATGCCAAGTCTTAAGCCTCCTTGGAATGTAACTAACACCCACGTCTTAGATGACTAAGCCAGGTAGCTATGACATGGCTTAAATGGTGCGACACGTCACAGTTCCTAAATGCTAAAATTGGGGTGGGGCGTGCTGGAATTGATGGTAAACTAGAGTATTTCTCTTTCTGGGGATTTTGGGCATTACTGGTCTCTTTTACATCCACATCTATTAAAATACAACTCACTTTTGAAGGTGACTGACTATTAGTAAAACAACTTCGAAATTTCTCAACTTGGGCAACAAAAGAATGTTTCAGTCTTTGAGAAAATAAGGCCTTGCTGTTGGGGGAATATAAATGCTGTTTTTCTAATCCCCTTTCCTGTAACTTTGTTAACGAGACTATTTGCTATGAAAAAACTAAGTGTTCTTAAGAGTAATTTAAAATTCTAATGACAATTTAGCCATGGGTTTTGTTACCTTTTTTAGGTTTTTATTTATTTTTTATTGATTTTGAGAGAGAGAGAGAAACATCGATTCGTTGTTGCACTTCTTTAGGTCTCATTGGTTGCTGCTTGATGTGCCCTGACCAGGGATTGACTTGTAACCTTGGCGTAGCAGGATCACGCTCTCACCAACTGAGCCACCTGGCGGGGCCCTTAGGTTTTTAAAGCCGGTTCCTGGGAAGCATCTTCAGGAGAGATTAAACATAACTTAAAACCAGCACTCAGCCCTGACTGGTTTTCTCAGTGGTTAGAGCGTCAGCCTTTGGACTGAAGGGTCTTGGGTTCGATTCCTAGTCAAGGGCACGTACCTTGGTTGCAGACTTGATCCCGGCAACCAATCAATATGTGTCTCTCCGATCGATGTTTCTCTTTCTCTTCCCCACCCCTGCCTCCCCTCCATTCTCTCTAAGAAAAAATCAATGGAAAGAATATCCTTGGGTGAGGATTAAAAAGACAAGCACTCAGATTTTGTTCTTAAGTTGATTTTCTC